GCCGTATCAGGGCTCATTCTACCAGGGCTGTTGCGACTTCCACTGCCTTCCTCCAGGGAGTGCTACTGATGGACATTTGCAAAGCCGCTACATGGGCCACGCCTAATACCTTCATAAGGCACTACGCCCTAGACATCCGTACGAACAGCAATACCAACATGGGACGTCACATTCTGTCTTCGGCTACCCAGTAAAAGACCTGCCAGCACCCTCCTCCAGGTAGGCTACTGCTCGCTAATCTCCCATGGGTGTGAAGCACAGAGACCACGTTGAAGATAAGCAGGTTGCTTACTAGTAACGTGATCTTCGAGTGGTCATCTGTGCATTCACACCACCCGCCCTCCTTTCCCGCTGCTGTCAGCTTCTACATTTTTAATAGGGGTTGATTTGCGGCGGTTTGTAGGAACTGGCGGGATGTCCACACCCACCCCTCTGGGCATGCGCGGTGGGGTTCCTGTGCATGCCCGGGGATTGGGCACGAAAATCCGTTAAAAAGAGCTTGCTACAGCACCGATCGATCCAGCGCGTGTGCACTAGATCCCATGGGTGTGAATGCACAGATGACCACTCGAAGATCACCAGTTACTGGTAAGCAACCTGCTTTTCTTTCTTTTTCATAAATAAAACAGAAGCCCGCTGGTACCTTAAAGACGACGTTTATTCCAGCATGGCTTTGGTAAGTCAGAGCTTATTACTTCAGAGATGTCTTCTTGAGATACCTGTATCCATGCCAGAAGCCACTGCGAATGCTTCCAGCCTGGTTCTCCTTATTTTATTAAGGAAAAGCAGTTAGTGTGTGAAGACTTGGGGTGTCAAGGTTTGAGGCTTCTAGAGATGTAAGGAGTGCTGGTTATCCTTTGTTTGAAATGCTTCTTCAGAGACTAGCATGTGTTTCAGATTTCAAGATCAAATTCTGGTTAATCATTTAGTTACTGGGAGATAACTAGCAAATGCCCAGTCAGTTTACTTTAGGTGTGTGTTTGTCTGTGTCCCATATATCTGTATGAAGAGTTTAGTTTATGTAATGGAGAAAACTCTCGTTTTGAGCAAAATCCAATGTTTGGTGCCTGAAAAAAATGTAATTCTAGAGAAGAGTTTCATCCTAACTTCTGGGATAAAATTCACACTACGAGGAGGAGGAGGAGGGATTAACCTAACTTCCATTCTGAAGCCCTTTTCTATATAGTTGCCTAGAAGGAAGGTGAGGCTTTCAGGCCACGAGATCTCTCGGACAAACATCAGACATGCTGTTTGTCTCAGGAGTGACTTTCCTGGCCACCGTTAGTATTGTGGAAAGCACAGTAGCTTAGTATTTGCCATCAGGGCAAGGGAGGGTTGAAGTCCGAAAACATGCTTTTTGAATAAAGAAATTGTGTTATTTGGGCTCAGAGCAATATCATACAGGACCAGTAAGACTAACAGCATATTTGGGTGTCGAGTTGAACTTCAACGTTGAGAACATTTAATTATTCAGTGGTGTGGTACTATACACATTCAACTGTTGACAACATTACTCACATGTAAAGAAATACATATTTGAAAATATGCCCATGTCCATGATATACATAGGAATTATCAGCAGTGGATTATGTTGCATAATAACGATCTTTCATACTATTCATTTTGAGGGAGTAAAACCTTGTCCTAATCATTTCACTCATTCCAAAAGAGAGACTGTTTCATATGAGGCTTTTTATTTGTTTGTTCTGAAAACTTTTCTTGTGGGGAAGCCCATGTGTGTATTTTTCTGGGCATTCATATCTCCATACTGGAATATAAAAGATCTAGTAGGGTGCTTTCTTCTTCTGGCAGCGTTCTAATAGCATCCTTTCTTTAAAATTCACAGTAATGAAAACATTTTGATGCATTTGAATTCTTCAGGCCAGTGGGAGGCAGGTTAGCCTTAAGGAACTGAAAAACTTCCAGCCACTGTCTTTAATGCAAGTGTAGCTTGTGGTTGCTCTGAAACATTGGATACTTCTGTCGCCCTTTTGCGTGGTGACTGGGTAAAACATAATGAGTCTTTCAGTTTCTTAATCTCGGTCCACTGCCAGATTTACTAATGCCATTCTTTCCCTTCAAAGAAATGAGTGCACCCAGAAAATATCAATGTCTAAAGGAAATGCATACTTATTGGATAGTTTCTCACTGGGGTAATGGAGTAATTCTACAAAGGACTTTACTATAAATAAAGGCAAAACAGTAATCTCATGTAATGATCAGATTTTTGTTTACTTCTGCAATATATGCTTTTAAATGCAGTTTTCTTGGAGACCACTTTGGATTACTGTTTTTTTAGGAAAGCGGTCAATAAGCAAAATACTTCCAGAGTAAATTCATATTGTGACCAAATTTGCATTTCACTAAGGGAAACACAGAGGATAGGTTTCTTCTTTCAGGACTGGCTTCTGGTGCTGAATACAGCAAAGCATGTTCCAGTTTCTGTGTCAGTTTCCCTTTTATTCTGTAATAAAGATGCACTTTTGACTCTCTTTCAAACAGAACCTCTGCTTTCACAACCTCAGCTTTCAATTACAAAGGAAAGATGGACTTTGTTCTGTAGAATTCTGCAGGAGAATGTCAAAGAACCTCTAGCTGTTGATGATTCTGTTTAAGGTTCTTTACATCAGAATAGTATCCAGATGATTTGAAAATTTTGTGTGTGTGTGTGTGTATCTATATCTATATATCTATCTATATATCTATAGATAGATATAGATATATAGATAGATATAAGTTCTGCACAAGAAATTATATTTTTCTATTTTGTTTTTCTTCCAGCTGTTGGCGAATCAGAAAGTGACATTTACATGCGATTCATGAGGTCACATAAGTGTTACGACATTGTTCCAACAAGCTCAAAGCTTGTCGTCTTTGACACTACGTTGCAGGTGAGTTCCTTTCAGAATGTCCTTTACAGTTTTACAGCCATCCTAAGCAGGTCTACTCAGAACCCCAGTCAGGTCTGTTCAGTGGGGCTTATTCCAAGGACAATGTTCTTAGGATTCAAATCACCTAGTAAATTACAGGTGTAGTAATTAAAAATAAATCTTCATTAAGGTGACCTTGTTTTTGGAACGTATACATAATGGGCATGTGTATGAGTTGTTTTGTAGCATCAAAGAATTAGAAATGTGTAAATGTTTTAAAGTTGCAGAAAGGAGCTATATTTCTCTCTGAATCAATATTTGAGTTCAGTACTAATGGCCTACTGAACCTCATTTCCTTTCAAATGGAAAAGACTGATGACATATCCTGAAAATACTTGTGTGGTTGCAGTAATATAACTGTTATGTGTAAAATGTTCTGAAATGTCAAATGGAATGGAACTGGTTCTGTCTTCTGTGAACTATATATCTGTGAATTTCAGATATCTTGGTAAAATCACTTGCCTCCCAAGTATTTACTAGATCATAATATATACACTTCCCTTTTCAGATAACTGCTTGCTTCCTGCAGCCAAAACAATGAAGACTCATGTGGCACCATAAGGACTAATGCATTTATTGTAGCATAAATGTGTGGGCTGTGACTTACAGAAGCTTATGCTACAATAAATGTGTTAGTCCTTAAGTTACTACAGGACTTCAGTCATTGTACATATTTATGTAATCATAATTAAGCATGTGTTTAGAAACTGTCTTAGTTGATGCAGACTTCACCTTTTTCTCATGGCATCCTACAAATCTGGGAAGTAATATTAGGCTTTGCAAAATTTAATAGAAACTGTCTTAGTTGATGCAGACTTCACCTCTTTCTCATGGCATCCTACAAAGCTGGGAAGTAATATTAGACTAAGAAAAGGAATGTCTTAGTTATTTGCTCCTACATGTAGCTGTATAAAGTTAATCACATCAGTACACTACTGAAATTTTGTTAACCCCCTTGCACACCTGAGAACTGCATTTGAAAAATGCTGAGAGCTCCATACAAGGAATTCCCAGATGTATTTCTTCTGGTTGGGCACCTTACACACATACTCTTGCGCATACCCGCGCCCAGATGAATTGATTATTCTTGTCCCAAATGTAAGTACAGGATACTGGAACACTATTAAAAGAGGAAGCATGCTAATACATGCTTTATGGTCCTTGGAGGGGGTTACCTGGGAAATGAAAACCTGCAACAACTAAACAGTTGTGTTCTGTTTGGATTCCACGTAGTCAGTATATTGGGGGGGGGAAGCACACAGCTGACTTTGTTAAAGGTCACATTCGATTTATTATTAAAATATTTATATCTCGCTGATGTATTTATTTACAAAATTTGTGTGTTGATTATCTGCCCTTCAAAGGGCCGCCAATGTGGCTAACAATTTAAAACATACAATAAAACCATGTTTTTTAAAACCAATAAAGTCAGCACCTCTAAATATCCATCCAAGGACTCTCAAAGTTATGATCTCTATAAAAATGATTGCATTGTTAAGATTTTTAAATAATAAAAAGAAATGAAAGCCCTAAAAATCAAACCACCTACAGCATTTGTAAAGGCATAAAAAAAATTTCTTGTCAGCTCTGAGATTTTCTTCTGTTCTGTCCTCTTGTCAAATGCATCATGAAACAGTGTCTTCCTCTCTTGTTTTAATGTGGGAGCTCAGTGGACATCCTGATGCAGAAAGGTCCAAAGCCTGAGCACCACTACTGAAAAGGCACCACCTCGCCACCTCCCCTGATGGGACTTGGACAGAGCAGGGTGCTTCTCTGACCCCAGCTGCCCCCCAGTTCTCCATCAGCTGTCTCCTCTCTGTACAAGCGAGGGCTCTTTTCACTGTCATACTTTTCATCCCTTTTTTTTACTACTTTGGTATGTTCTCTTTTCTTCCTGAAAAAGAAAGTCGGGATATAAATGTAACAAACCAGTCAAGAAGGGCAGACCTTTAGATACTGTGATCTCAAACTGTTAAGGTGTTCTGCCCCCTCGCCCAGGTCACATTTGGGCTGTGGCTTAAAGACAGAATTCCTTCCTGTCCAAGAACTTCTTGGGGATCCGTAGGAAAACTCATAGTTTAAGGACATTGACGTCATCCTTTTTAAACCTTAGAAAGACCAGCATGTCTGTGGCCTTGAAGGGTAGAGGTAACAGAGCAAGAAAGACGTTGGTGGTCCAAGGGTGGCAGTTGAGTCACACAGTCTAGTTATTTACTGTAATCAACAATGTTGGTCATAAGTGTAAGTATGAAAAGGACAGGATATTTGCATCTGAAACACTTGCAACAGACTCTCAGTTTGCTTGTGATTTGTGGACTCCTGGGCAATATATGATCCCCATCAACATTTTAGTGTGATTATATGACTGGGCCTTATATCCTATAGAAGAAATCAAACCGACATGAATTGTAAATGTAATACCTTTTGGCCTGTGGTGTACTTAACCTCTGTGCTTTAAGAATAGAAATACTTTACCTAGCTTAGAAGAAACTTTCAATGATGCAGAATTATTTAGTCTCTATATGACAACTGGTCAGAGTCACAAACGTATTACAGCTATAAACTCTTTGAAAATGTATTTGCCTGTGTGTGTAAAGTGCCATCAGTCGCAGCTGTTTTATGGCAACTCCGTAGGTTTTTCAAAGCAAGAGATAACCAGAGGTAGTTTGCCACTGCCTGTCTCTGCATAGCAACCCTGGAAATCCTAGGTGGTCTCCCATCCAAATACCCTGCTTAACTTCTCAGATGTGACTACATCAGGCTAGCCTGGAACATCCAGGTCATGGAGTGTTTGTCTGGAGCTATTGTTTTCTAAGGGCTTAACTAGATGTGATGGTGTCCCCAGGTCAGAGGATTGTTGGCACCATTTTATAGCCTAATAGGTGAGAGATGGTGCCTGCAGCAGGTTGTTGTTTGGAGGATTAAGTGGAGAATGGGGGAATTATGTCAAAAGCTGCTTTGAGTTCCCGATCATGGAAGAAAGTGGAATATAAATAAGAAGTACGTAAACAAACGTATAGACTCTGTTTTGCCAAAATGGGCTCTGGAATGGCCCGGGTTTGGGTGGGATTTTCTGCATATATTGTGTATGGCAGAACAATGGCATATATCCACCATGAACAGATTAGCATTCTCCAGTGCAAATTCAGCCTGAGACTTGTTTTATGCTATGTGGAAGTAGCCAGCGAAGATCAGTGCTATACTGTAATACTATGTATTGTATGAATTGTTTGTGGTAGCCTTTGGCAGTTTATGGTGAAATTGTTTCATAAATTCAGGCAAATCATTGTGACCAGTAACTATAACAGCATTTCCATAGCCTAATGAGTTGAGATTGAGAATGGAACAGAAATACTCCCTATAGTCCTTGTTCTTTCTTTGCACTTATATGAATTAACTTTCCTTAAAAAATGAAGCTTCCTTTTGAAAGGCAGTTAAATTTATTGACATTAGCAGCTAGAAATAAATTTTGAAAAAGAATTAAGGAGTTTGGTATCTGAAAATCTGCATAGAGGCCTACTTATATGCATATCCATACTTAAGTATCTTTTAAAAAGTTGTTTAGGTTTTTCAAAGACAGGTAGAAACCCAAACCATGTATGAAGGGGGAAAGGAGGGGGTATCCATTTGGAAGCTGAGAGTGTTTGTGTTTAAAATATCCAGAATAATTTTGGAGGAGTTAAGTCAAAGAATACTTAGACAGTTGACTTCACTAGTAAAAAAGAGTTTGAAAGCCAGAGCAGTATAGTGGTTTGGCTTCGGATCAAGTATGAGAGAGAACGTTCAAAGCTCCACTCACTGGATGACATTGGGCCAATCCCTCTTTGTGTTTAACTTGCCTCACAGGGTTGCTGTTAAGGTAAATGGCGGGGGGGGGGACCATGTACACTGCCCTGAGCTCATCAGAGGAAGTGTGGGATAAAAATGTGATGGAAATAACCTCCTATAAGGAACAAATCTGGTTTTGAATGGTGATTGGTTACTAACATGATGAGCATATCACTAGTGATGTCAGAAGCAGACCTGCTGCATGTGTTCTGGCAGTGTCCGGTTATAAAACAATTCTGGAATATAATTTTGACACAATAAGAGGCATGATCAGATACAATCAACCACCTGACCCTAAGGTCTGGGTTTGGTTAAAAAATGCTGTCCCGTCTAGGGTGAGCTGCAGCTGAGGCAAATGCTTTCCAGGTGTGAGTCAACGCACAGTCACTGAAGAGAGCTTCAATCGTCTTTATTTAACTTCACATGCATTCAGTAGATCATTTACAATCGAGCTGATAGCTGGATAGAGCGTTACATCTTTCTGAACTAGGTAAATCCTATGGCCGTGGTGAGAAAAGAGATGGGCTTCCCCTCTCCTTGCAGTAAGGGTTGATGGACAAAGAAACGGAAAAGAACAATAAAACTCCTATCTTTGCGCCTCTGAGATCAGGAAATTACTCTTAATGAGCCAGTCAGAGAGAAGCTTCTGGGACCCCTAACTGTGGACTCCAATTCCCAGGTGCAACTACTCTTAAAGGTACATTAACGCTGGCTGGGGGCAGCACAAATGCTCTTGGATTATTTGGAGCTCATTGTAGGTGTGACAGATCAGTGCCCATATCTGTATTGCTGCATATTGGAGGGAAAGTCCACCTGTGCTGATGGACTGGTATAAGCAAATATGGGATTTCTCATTAATAGCTAACGTAGTAGATCAAAATTGAGCTGCTGCAGTGATAAATGTTTTAAGAAAGGGGGGCATTATTTGTAATACATTGGAATAATAAGTTCAACAATAATGTACAGTGTTACTTTTTCCACTGTGGGAACTGGAATGGCTGATGGGCAATCAGTTTCTTGGTAGAGAATGGGGAATAATCTAGTGGTCAATGTTCTCAGGTTCAGGGAGTGTAAAACTCAGTTATTATGTAATATTTAAGTCATTCTTGGTTGTCTGATAAAACAGCTGTTTGGATGGGGATTGTTGGCTGTACATAATGAATGTTCATGGGGGGGTTACATGAAAGTGGTTACATAACATTATATGGCATGCATTGATTTGTCATAATATGAAACTGAGTACATTTATGTTTCACAGTTTAATAAAAGATGTAGTTTGAAAATGTGATGGGATGTGAGTGGAAATGTAATTTTAAGCTGCTTAGACCAAATAGATGCATATGGCAGAATGATAATTAAGAGAGGGCTTTAAGGGGGTGAAGAAAAACTGCACCTGGCGTTGAAATGGTCAGTCTTTTAATATATGGCTTCATTGTGCTGAAACAGACACCTAGTAAGACTCTTAAGAGAGCAGAAGGTCAGATACCTAGAGCTGTATCTTCAGAGAGGTGCCTCTTATTATGTTGTGCTCTATCAGCAATCTTTCCTGACCATCAAGAGTAATTTAGTGCATGTTGCTTGGTACAACAACATCTCTGCAAGAGTAATCCCAGTCCTGCAGAGACTTGTCCAGCAGTTTCTATTTACATGTCATGCTCTGACTATAATTAACAGTGCTGCTGACTGTGTCAAGACATATAGTGATCTAAAGCTTTTTGCTAGGTTTGAATCCCTTCACAGCACTTGTCAAAGAGATTTGTATTTACAAAGTAATTTATTTTTTAAAAGACCATTCTGGGAGCCTCTGTTTTGTTTGTTAAATGCGTAGTCTTTGTAATTGTTTAGCACAAAGCGTTATCTCAAGACAAAAACTGTGTAATTTGGGGGGAAATAGCCAGTATGGCATAAAACGTCCTGCATTCACAAATTCTGTCATTTCTTTCATACGTATTCCATCCATGAGCATGGAATGCACTACTTAAAATAGCTGCATAATCACTGAATGAATGATAAAATCTCTTGTTATTGGTTTACAGCAGAACTAGCTGATCTTGTTGACAAAAGTAATTGAATTACACTGGAACTTCAATAGAAAAGAAATCATTCATATTTATATCCTTAAAGAAATGTGGAAGCTGACAAAGAAGAGCCAGAAACGAAATTGCTGCTCCTTTCCTCTTCACTCCTACATGTGTAATCAGATCGATAGAGTACATAGAGAAAGGTTGCCCTGTGATTTCGAAGTGTCTATTTTGTTGTTTCAGGCTCTTTATATCTTTATCTCTTTGTGTATTAACAAATGGTCTATAGCCCCACCTACCTCACAGGGTGTCTGTTGTGGGGAGAGGAAGGGAAAGGAGATTGTAAGCCACTCTGAGACTCCTTTGGGTAGTGAAAGGTGGGGTATAAATCCAAGCTTCTGCTGCTGATGTTCTTCTTTTTCTTCTTCTTCCTCCTCCTCCTCTTCTGCTGCTGCTGCTGCATTGGGTTGGGACTCTCAGATGAGTAGCAGAGCTCCACCTGCTGGCTCGTGATTCTTTTGTATATTATGGAGCTGCCCTCTTCTGCCGTTTGGAAGGACTTGCTGCTAGTGTGCCATGCCCCTGTCTCTCTTTGCATGCAAGCTGAGAGAAGCAGCAGGATGGTGAAGCAATGTCACCCAGCATGGAAGAGGATTCCATTTTAGCACAGGCAGCTTCAGAGGCTTTGGCTCCTCTTCTCTCTGCCACATGACTGTGATGTCGTACATGTCATGTGCTTGCAGCTCAGCAGGTCCCATGCTTCTGCTTGGAATCGAAGGTGACCCTGTTCTGAATGGGTAGCCGTGTCAGTCTGTCTGTAGCACTAGAAAAGAGCAAGGCGTCCAGTTGCACATTAAAGACTAACAAAATTTGTGGCAGAGGATGAGCTTTCATGAGTCACTGCTCACTTCTTCAGATTTGGAAAGCTGGAAGTCCACTCATCTATAAATATGGGCATTTTATTAGCAACTATGACTGTTAACACTCTAGTTTTTTTTTTTTTTTTTAATTCTGCTTTTCCTCCAAAGATCTCTGGGTAGAGGATTCTTCACGTCTCCATTATATCCTGAAAGATAGTGACAAGTCAATGGTCACCTAGTTTTTGATTGATATTCCCAGTTCTAGTCAGACTCTAATCATCACTATATGGACTTCTTGACCTTCCCTTTAAATAAAATTCATGCTTTTCTTTCTTTTTCAGGTAAAGAAGGCCTTCTTTGCCCTGGTGGCAAATGGTGTTCGAGCAGCTCCACTGTGGGAAAGTAAAAAACAAAGTTTTGTAGGTAGGGTAATGTATGTCTGTACAGCACTTTGGAGAGAAACAATGCATGATCATAGGTAGTTTTGTAAAGAAAGAATCTACATATTACTGTTGTAATACAGTTGTTTTGCCTCTTCCCTTCAAATCTTTTATTTTTACTCATAACAGTGAGTCTAGATCAGAGTTGATAGCAGAGAGGGACCTTAACGTAGTATGGTGGGCTGGTTGGCTGTGTGTTTGGTTTCTGTTACTGAGACTATAAGGAATTAGGATGCTTAATGGGGGGAAATTCAGATTCCGAGAGACCGGCTTCACCTTTTTGAGGAGTCAGCCCTGTGAAGAGGTGAAATGTGTTTCAGATTCCTCGGCATGAACAGCAGTACCTTGGATACTTAGGAAATTACTTTTCCGAAAAGAACTAAATAAGCAGTGTCCATTACAAACCCATAGGTTTATTTTTGAAGTCTGACTTGGCTGTTTTCAGACCTCTTTCTAGGTCCCCCTTCCATGGTAAATATGCGAAATCTAATCTTTTCTGTATCCAGTCTTTCTCAACAAGAAGCAATAAGCTGCCAGTTCTCACTCCATTTAAGGGCTTGGCTGTGTCCAATTATCTTTAACCCGGCAGCCCTCCAGGCTTCAGCGTCTTGAAACATACTTCTGATTAAAGAGCTCTCTTGTTATACATACCGGCAGACTAGCAATAAAATCCATGCCCTGGGCTTGCTCCTTTCATGCACAGTGGGATGAAATTACATCACTTAGAAAAAGATACCAACATGATGTATTGAGCTACAGCCTCTCTTGCATCTTAAGCCAGGCCTTGGGAAATCTCAGGTGCCAAGTTGCCATGGCACCTAGAAATTTCATTGTAGTTTCTATTTATTTTTGACAAATGCAATCCCTTTCTCTCTCAGATCATCTCGAGATGGTTCTTAATCACTCTAGCTGGCAGTAATATGACTGGTAGTCTTAGAAACTGTCCGATTCTGATTGTTGAAGTGGGATGATACAACATTTATATGGAAGCTGGAGGTCTCCTACTTGGGACAGTCACACTTAATTGCTGCAGTCCTTCAAAACTGGGTTAGCTTCTTTTGTGGTGATAACAGCCAGAGTTACCACTAATTATTTTTTATATGCTTGCAACATTTTTTTCATACCAATAAAATTACAGGAAACTATGAAAAGAGGTAAGAATTAGATTCTGTGGAAGCATTAAAGGTTATTAAAGGTGGAAGAAAAAAGGTTATTAAAATTCAGAACTCTGAAGACTGAAATGAACCTGGCTTCTAGATCCAAAGGAAATTTTTCAGGGGCTCTCTTAAGGATATTTAAGCTGTATTGGCAAATCATGGTTTGCAGCAATGTGAACCAGCTTTCTGAAGCACAGAACTTGCTTTCCTCTACCTTCTCTTTGTGTGTGGAGCAAAATGCTTAGTTACTTCTGCTTCAGCAGCGATACCATGGTTTGCCATGAAATACAAAGTTGCAAGCTATATATGGTTTGTACTTTAGCGGGAATCCAGCATTAACCACTGTTTGTTTGTTTGCTGTATAAGCTCACCTTTCTCATTGAGACTCAAGATAGTTTAGAATTGTGGTTTTCAGGGGAAGAGCATGCCATAGTTTACCAGTTCGGCTGTAATGGAAACTAGTTTTTGCTTTGAAAGCAGAAGTAGCTAATTATCTTGTGTGTGAAGGGAGTGAAGATCAGGGTTCAGGGAACCTGAAGTTCTCACATAATAGCAAACTATGGTCTGACCTGTGATTAAGACTGTAAATGAGAGGCCATAGCTCTGAAGTTGTTCATAGAAATTAACAAAAATGGGGCTCTACACTGCATCCACATAAGGATATAAATGAAATATTATTTAAGACTTAATTTCAAAATGCTTTTTCTAACAATCTACTTTGTTTTATTACAGGAATGTTAACTATTACGGATTTCATTAATATACTGCATAGATACTATAAGTCTCCAATGGTAGGTACCAACTCCTAATTATAATTGTCATTAGAGAACCAGTGTGCCTGAAAATGTTAAAAATGACATTCAAGCTTATTTAATAGTGGAGATTGAATGGACATTGAAATACTGTCTTTTGAGAGAATGATTCTACTGGTAAGATACTGGATTGGTGCATTCTACATCAAGTTTCCCAGTTTCTCTGTAGAACTTTTTTGTGTGTGTAAAATCATCAGTTAGTTTTTTCTCCTTGATTTACTGCATTTGCTACTCATCCACCTTAGGGGCGGGAAGTAGAGGGAAGCATGATTCTTTGTGGTTGCTGCTGTCCCACATACAGTTTCTGCAGATGAGCTTCATTGTCGAGATTTTTGTAACACTGTTATGCTGTGGCTGATTTTCTTCTGGGATAGTTGGTTCATTCATGAGATGTAATAATATGACAGCTGCCACAAGTACAATTTTATACTTTATGTGGACAATATACACAATGGAAGAAGAGCAGAGTAGAATAAGTACTGGATTTGGACTGAAAATACCTAGGTTCAAATACTAGTTAAGATATGGAGATAACTGGTAGCCTTGGGCAAATTGCCAGTTCTCAGTTCAGCTACATTACAGATGACTGTAACGATAAATGAGTCAACTTCCAACTTTACTGGAGGAAGAGAATGATATAAATAATAACTACATGAATATAATTGTTGTTCAGTCGCACAGTTGAGTCCAACTCTTCGCAACCCCATGGACCACATCACGCCAGGCCCTCCTGTCTTCCGCTGTCCTCCAGAGTTTGCTTAATTTCATGTTCGTTGCATCGATAACACCAACCATCTCATCCTTTGCCATTCCCTTCTTCTTTTACCTTCAATCTTTCCCAGCATCAGGGTCTTCTCCAGTGAGTGCACTGCTCCCTTCTCATTTTGTGGCCAAAGTATTTAAGCTTCACCTTCATTATTTGGCCTTCCAGGGAACAGTCAGGGTTGATTTCTTTTAGGATTGACTGATTTGATCTCCTTGCAGTCCAAGGGACTCTCATGATTCTTCTCCAGCACCATAATTCAAAAGCATCTATTCTTCGGCACTCGGTCTTCCTTATGGTCCAACTCTTGCAGCCATACTACTGGGAATACCATTTCTTTGACCATACGGACTTTTGTGGGCAGGGTGATGTCTCTACTTTTTATTATGCTATCTAGGTTTGCCATCACTTTCCTCCCAAGGAGCAAGTGTCTTTTAATTTCATGGCTGCAATCACCATCTGCAGTGATCTTGTATCCAAGGAACGTGAAGTCTGTCGCTGCTTCCATGACTTCCCCTTCTGTTTGCCAAGGAGTGATGGGGCCGGATTCCATGATCTTAGTTTTTTTTGATGTTGAGTTTCAAGCCACCTTTTGTGCTCTCCTCTTTCACTCTGAGCAAGAGGCTCTTGAGATCTTCTTCACTTTCTGCCATTAGAGTGGTATTGTCTGCGTATCTGAGGTTGTTGATGTTTTTCCCAGCAATCTTAATTCTGGCTTGTGATTCATCCAAGCCAGCATTTCGCATGATGTACTCTGCATATAAATTAAATAAGCAGGGTGACAAAATACATCCTTGTCATACTCCTTTTCCTATGCTAAACCAATCAGTTGTTCCATATCTGGTTCTAACTGTCACTTCTTGACCCTTATACACGTTTCCCACAGTTTGTTGTGATCCACACAATCAAAGGCTTTAGCGTAGTCAATGAAGCAGATGTTTTTCTGGTACTCCCTTGCTTTCTCCATAATCCAGCGAATGTTGGCAATTTGATCTCTAGTTCCTCTACCTCTTCGAAACCTAGCTTGTACTTCTGGCAGTTCTCTATCCATGTACTGCTGAAGTCTAGCTTGTAGGATCTTGAGCATGACCTTGCTAGCGTGTGAAATTAGTGCCATTGTGCGATAATTTGAACATCCCTTGGCATTGCCCTTGTTTGGGATTGGCATGTAAACTGTCCTTTTCCAATCCTGTGGCCACTGTTGCGTTTTCCAAATTTGCTGGCATATTGAGTGCAGCACTTTAACAGCATAATCTTTTAAGACTTTGAATAGCTTAGCTGGGATACCATCACCTCCGCTAGCTTTGTAATGCTTTCTTAGACACAGTTGACTTTGCACTCTATGATGTCTGGCTTGAGGTCAGTGATCCCACCATTGTGGTTGTCAAGGACATTGAGATCCTTCTTGTATAGTTCTTCTGTTTATTCTTGCCATCTCTTCCTAATCTCTTTTGTTTCTGTTAGGTCCCTACTATTTTTGTCCTTTATCATGGCCAGGTTTGCATTGAATGCTCCCTTGATTTCTCCAGTTTTCTTCAAGAGATCTCTAGTCCTTCCAATTCTATTGTTTTCCTCTATTACTTTGCACTGTTCATTCAGGAAGGCCTCTTTATCTCTCCTTTTCACCTTTGTCTTTCGCTTTCCTTCTTTCCTCAGCTATTTGTAAATCCCCATCAGACAGCCACTTTGCTTTCTAGCATTTCTTTTTCTTTGGGATGGTGGTGATTGCTGCCTCCTGTACAATGTCATGAACCTCCATCCATAGTTCCTCAGGCACTCTATCAAATCTAGTCCCTTAAACCTATTCTTCACCTCCACTGTATATATAAGAGATGTGATCTAGGTCAAACCTGAATGGCCTAGTGGTTTTCCCAACTTTCTTCAGTTTAAGCCTGAATTTTGCAATGAGTAGCTCATGATCTGAGCCACAGTCAGCTCCAGGTCTTGTTTTTACTGACTGTATAGAGCTTCTCCATCTTTGACTGCAAATAACATAATTAATCTGATTTCGGTCTTGCCCCATGTGTAGAGTCGCCTCTTAGGTTGTTGGAAGAGGGTGTTCGCTATGACCAGCGTGTTCTCTTGACAAAACTATGTTACCCTTTGCCCAGCTTCATTTTGTTCTCCAAGGCCAAACTTGTCCATTATTCAAATTACCTCTTGACTTCCTAATTTAGCATTCCAGTCCCCTATGATGATGAAGACATCTTTTTTGGTGTTAGTTCTAGGAGGTGTTGTAGGTCTTCATAGAACCGGTCCATTTCAGCCTCTTCTGTGTCAGTGGTTGGGGCATAGACTTGGATTACTGTGATGTTGAATGGTTTGCCTTGGATTCGGACCAAAATCATTCTGTTGTTTTTGAGATTGTATCCCATTATTACTGCCTTTTTCACTCTCTTGTTGACTATAAAGGCCGCACCATTTTTTCTATGGGATTCTTGGCAACAGTAGTACATAAAATGATCTTCTGAGTTAAATTCGCCCATTCCTGTCCACTTTAGTTCACTGGTTCCCAAGATGTCGATGTTCAGTCTTGCCATCTCATTTTTGTCCACATCCAGCTTACCTTGATTAATAGATCTTACATTCCGGGTTCCTATGCAGTATTGTTCTTTGCAGCATCAGACTTTCCATTCACCATCAGACACATCCACAACTGAGCGTCCTTTCGGTTTTGGTCCAGCCGCTTCATTCTTTCTGGGGTTACTGTTGTACTTGCCCTCTGCTCTTCCCCAGTAGCATATTAGACACCTTCCAACCTGAGGGGCTCATCTTCCAGCGTCATACCTTTTAGCCTTTTGTTACTGTCCTTGGGATTTTCTTGGCAAAGATACTGGAGTGGGTGGCCATTTCCTTCTCCAGTGGATCACGTTTTGTCTGAGTTCTCCGCTGTGGGCTGTCCGTCCTGGGTGGCCCTCCACGGCATAGCCCACAGCCTCATCGCACCACGCAAGCCCCCTCGCCACGTCAAGGCAGCGATCCATGAGATAGATGAATATAATAGTTGAATCCAATACCTGTGCTGAGGCATAGTACTTACATTCTGCAAACCCAGCCAAAGTATTTGAAACAACAATTCCTAATGTTTGAATGCAACAATTGTATTTGAAAATGCCTGTTATTCCAGTGTTTGTAACTTCTCATCCTTGGTTATACTACATATATGCTTACATACCAGTCAATTATCCTGCTTGCTTATAAAGTCCGGTTTTCCCTTCATCTATCTCTAACCCACTGTTGAGCCACATTAAGTCATAGTAGCTTTTGCTTCTTTTTAACAGAAGGATAAACTTCCTCTGTTCCTCTTCTAAGAAAATATTCAATGGAAAAATGAGTGCGAACATTTTGGTGCTTAATCTGACTATTCTGCGGTTTTTCCTGGTGTGTTCCTTTTCGAGATTGTCACGCAGACAAGATAGAGCAAACTGTTAAAGAAAATGTGGCAGGTGGGAGGATCTCAAATAGCACATAGAAGACAGGAGGAGCAAATGTGTTCAATTATAATGCCTGTTGCCCCCATTTCATATCTGTAACCCAAACTGTACAGAACTGGAAGCTACAAGGTAATCAGGGAGACTGATGCTTAGGGGCTGAATGGCAAGGGGGCTTCGGGGAGTAAAGAACCCAAGGGGTGTGAGGGCTTCAAAGATAGGATAATGGAAGGAAGGGGAAGGAGAATACGCAGTGGCCTGGGAAGCAGGAACCTGAGGGGAGAAATGTGTGCTAGAAAGGGAGGGGGGCAAGGGAGGACCAACTGTTAAAAACTCTTAAAATACATTGTTGTGTGAATATTGGTTATAAATATTCATGTAGAGCTTTCATATGCAGCTGAAGTAGTGAAGCCTTACATACAAAAGCTTATGCTGGAACAAACTTGGCTAGCCTTAAATGTGACTCTTGGTTTCTGTTTTACCTGACCTGCTGTTTTGTGAATCGTTCCAGGAGCTTGGTTAGCCAAAAAGTAATCTGTAGAACAGAAAACTTACGTTTGGGGAGTTTGGTATATGGAAGTATGTAATGATGTTGGATCCATCAGCAGCTGTTAGTACTACAGCCCAAACACAGGCTTATGAACTTTTCCACATTCTCATTTTCCTTGCCTGTAAGTTCCTGTTTGTTCTTTTTTCTGTTCCTCACGAGTTTTGCTCCCTCTTGTGGTTGATTTGATATTATACTTGTTTATGTCTGTCATATCTTCTCCTGTTTGTTCTTTTTTCTGTTCCTCACAAGTTTTGCTCCCTCTTCTGGTTGATTTGATATCACACTTGTTTATGTCTGTCATATCTTTCTGCAGACTTAAACTGCAGGTTTTTATGTCAGAATAAACCAATATAATATTGAATCAACCTCTAGAGGGAATGAAACATGTGCAGAACAGAGAAAAGAACTGTTAATGTATCAGTTTTACCCGGTCTTAGCATATTTGATACAGTAAAATAGCTCTTCCACCATGCCAAATTCATACTGGTAGCATATTCAACCCCCTTTACCCCAGCTTCTGTTCAATGCTTGATATTTGGCCCCATCTATCTCTAGAGGATTCTCTACTGGTAGCAATCGTCTACTTGATTAGGGGAGCTATCAGCAAGTCCTGTAAGGCTACACTCTACTAATTTCTAAAGGAATGGCAGCAGTTATGAAATTGAATATATATAAATAGCATTGAGTTCCAAAAGCTGCTATATAAAAGTACTGATTAATACAGCTGGACTCTAAATTAGTTGTAGTGGGAGCAACAAGAGAATTTATTTTTATTTTTGCATAAATTACTTTCAGCTATTAATGTGTAGAAAATGAATAACTTTACTTGGAATCATCTAGTGGAAATCTTGGATTTGCTGAGTAGTTCTAATGAAGTCCTTTGTTGGCATCTGTTGTGGAGTAAATAGGAATTCATTGGCCCAATTCAGATGGGCTTCAAAACCATTAAGTTGGAGATGATGGGGAATGTGCTATAAGATCATCCAGTCTCCCTCCCTCTCAGCACCAGGCACTGTAGCAAATAGACATTTCCTTTGTGCTTTCTAGTACTGAAGTTGTTGATTCAAATCCTACTGCAGCGTTTGCCCAACTGGGAGGGGAAGGTATGTTGTACCACTTTGAGATGTTGTGGCTCAGTGGTGGAGCACATATTTTGCATATAGCTAGTTCCATTTGCAATCCCAGGCATCTCCATTTAAAGATAGCAGGAAATGTCGTTCTCTGCAAGTGAGCTGCTGCCAGTCAGAATAGACATTACTAAACTAAATCAACAAATAATCTGACTTGGTATAAAGTGGCTTCATATATCATATTTATTTATGTACTTTATCCCCCCCTCCTCACGGAGACTCAAAACGGATTGCAAAATATGGGAAAACAATTCAGTCAGACAGCATAAGACATCCCATAAACAATGCAGTAGGACTAGGACTACAGAATTAGAAAACAGTGCAAACAAAAAACTAAGTAAGGCATGACATAAGAGTGCAGAAAATGGATAACAAAGGTAGAAGATAATGCAGTAGAAGCAAGGGGATACACACAATAAATATTTCCATGGGCTACAGTCCTGTTCCTTTATTAAAATGTCTGCCCACAGAGTTCCATTGCATGGCAGTTTTAATCCCTTTATAAAAATACACTGCTAAACATTTCTGTTTTGCGCATTCTGCAAAATGATAGAAGTGTGGGAACTTTTATGATCTTAGGCAGGCCGTTCCTGTTCCCTCCTCCATTTCTTGCTTTCCTCTAACCTTGTTTTGCTGCGATGTTCAAACTGGGCAAATTAAGGCTAATCTTCCAACTGTGGTTACAGGAAAAAGTGGGAGGGGGGGGGGGGGTTGCTAATTATAGTTTGGCCAGACTTGACATCATTCCAGACTGGTTAGAAAAAAACAGGAAACCAGGAGGGAATGGGCATCAGAGTGCAATCAAACCATGTCTCGGAGGAGTAGAATGTGGCTTCTGAACCAGTCAGCTGTGTTGCTAGTTTACTGGCTTGATGCAATGATAGATCAATATGCTACTTTACTGATTTACACAGAGAGTGATTAAAATGTGGAATTCGCTGCCAGGGGGATATAGTGATAGCCACAGGAAAAAACAGCTTTAAAAGGGAATTAGATAGATTCATGAAGGATAGGTCTATAAACGGCTACTAGCCATGGTGACTGAGGGGAACCTCCGCATTCAGAGGCACTAATCCTCCGAATCCCAGAGCCAGAAGGCAACATCAGGGGAAGGCCTCGGCCTGTATGCCCTATTGTTGGATAGCCAGAGGAACTGGTTGGCCATTGTGCTGGACTAGATAGACCATTAGTCTGATCCAGCAGGGCTTTTCTTATTATATAATCTTGTGAATTTTAAGTTTTAAATCTGTAATATTTTCTTTTTAAATCACGGCTTTGGTTTAAAGGACTGGGGTAAAAGTTAACAGTCTCTTCTCTGGAGCGGGATCCTTCTTTCCCCAGCTTAATTTGTAATCATGGTTTACATACCCATGGTGCAGCAGAACTGTGGATAATGCGGGAAGGAAAGGGAGGGGGAAATTGCTTCAGAGGTAGGAGGAATTCCATTCACACTTTCGCTCCTGATTTGCAATAAGCGATTTGTATGGAGCCAGGGGGACCATTGTGGTCTTCCAACTCTTTCAGTTAATTAGGGTGTTCCCATTTATATGGCAATATAATCCCACGGTGTGGATGGCTGCGGGAGATTTATACACATACTGAAAGATTACAATGTTTTCCAGCTTTGCTTTTGTTGTAGGGCTCCATTCCTTTTTTATTCCATCATGAGGAGAGTTATATTACAAATAGAAGCACTTCTTGTTTTGCAGTAAAATGTTACAGCGTTCATGCCCAGGGCTTTGTGTACAAAGTTTAAGTTCTTTTCCATCGCTGCAAACATTCCTGTTATTTCTCAGAGCATTACTGCTGCATTAGAGTTGGTTCATGGCTCATGATCATTTTAGAAATATTCTCTCTCGCGCACGCACACTCGCTCTCTCCTTTTAAAAAATGTGGTTGGATTAAAGGGGCTGCATCTTTGACCTTTAAAAGATTTCTGGGCCTTCAACTAGGCAGAAAAAGTGAAGTCTGTGCCTCTTGCTGCTTGCAGGTGTCAGAACAGCTTCTGTCAATGTTAGAGCCAAATCCAAAAGGTAAAAGTTCAAAGGCTCTATAAAGGCCAGTGTATGAAGTGTGTAAAAGAGTATCAAGAAAATGGCAAAATCTTTTGTCTTTTTCTCCCTGTGCTAGCCTACAGTAGGAAGGACACCACACCCGCCAGCCCTGCAGTGCCCAGTATAGTGGGCTCCATAGCACCCCCCAGTGTGTTTCCTGGCAGTCATTGCTGCCTCATTCTTTTCAAGTCCCCTTCTTTGTCCTCCTTTGCCCTACATGCATGCCATCCTCTTTGCTCCTTCCTGTGTCACCTGTCACATTCCTTCCTTCCCCTTTCTCTGTTCCTCGTTTTCTCCCGAGCCTCTGTTGTTCATCTCAATGTCATGTCATTTCTCCAGCTGGCCCGGCAGTGTGCTCAATGCATGGTAGGATGCAGTGGTGGCCATTTGGGGTGGGGGGAGTTCTAGAGAGCCACCATGGTGTATCGACTGGAGTGCTGGACTAGGATCTGAATGACCTAGGTTCGACTCCCTGCTCTGCCATGGAGGTTTGCTGGATGGCCTCAGACCAATCACGTACTCTCAGCCAAACAACTGCACCACCCTGGCTATCACAATAACTGTGCTGAAAGACTGGACTGTCTATCTGAGCCTGGTGCAGGTAGAACTTCAGCAAGAGCACTTCATGGGCTCCTTCTTTCTGCTGATGCTCTCTTTTTTGACTGCTGAATAAATAAGCTCGTGTAATTGTTTTTTAGAGGAAACTGATTTTTAAATTAAAGCAATCTTCATGAAAAAGCCCACTTAATAACTACCACTGTTCAGCCAAATGTTCTATTTAATCAGTGTGGGAGTAAAACAAATTTCATTTTCAATACATTATACAGCTCTGACATTTCCTTTTCCACGAATTGGTATTCCCTTTCTATCATCTTCAGATGTAACATGTTTGCAGCACAGCATAAGTGAATGAGTCCAATAATTAATTTCAGTAGCTCTGAGTTGGAGTGTATGGAAAAGCTATCTGTAAAAACTGAGGTTTTTGTTTACTTCCAGTTTTGAGCCTTCTCCAAACTAAGCTTAATCGTTCTAAGAAAAATAATTTTAAAATCCTGGTTTGTAAAGTCCATGGGTTGGACCCTGTAGATCGGTTCTGCTAATTGTGGTGCTTTCCTCCAGGGTAAGGAGCCTTCCCCTGAGTCAAGAGACTGTTGCACCAGAAACCATAGTTAGCAGAAAATCCTAAACATATGTACTTAAAGATAGATCTTACTGATTTTATTGGAAATGAACAAGGCTAAATATGAAAGGTTTAAACATCTTCTTTCATTGCAGGTACAAATCTATGAATTAGAGGAGCACAAGATTGAAACGTGGAGGGGTAAGCGTGCTTTGTAAATGTTCGGCAGAAATGCAGTTCACAGAACCTGCTGTGTAGCCCTGAACTTTGGGTTCCTTGCTGTCTTAACCAAAGGGGAAACACACACTAGTATGTTTGCTAGAGGGGGTTCCACCTCCTTCAGTTGGAAACAGTAAACCAAGACACCTTTTTCTAGACTGGGAGCTGTGTCTGCCTTAAGGTTGCCAGCTCCAGGATGGGAAATACCTGGAGACTGTAGGGGTGGAACCTGAGGAGGGCAGGGCTTGGGGAGGGGAGAGGAGAGGAGGGACTTCTGTGGGATATAATGCTATGGAGTCCACTTTCCATAGTGGCCATTTTGTCCAGGTGAACCAACCTGTATCATCTGGAGATCCATTGTAATCCCAGGAGATCTCCAGCCACCACCTGAAGATTGGTAACCCTAGTCTACCTTGATTAGTCCCACCAATAGCCACTCCACTTATGCCTGTAGCTTGGTGCAGTTTGCCTGATTGCAATGGAACTGGGAAGAGTCATGTTGGTATAGCAAGGCAAAGACGTGGATCAGGCTGTTGTTAGCCATTCAATTGTGTTCAATTCTTGGCAATTCTATGGGCCAGCTCTCTCCACGTTTTCCGATCTTGTACTGTTTCCTTGAGTTGTCCATGTTCCTTCTGGAAATACAACTTAAAGCCACTGGTACTTCACCAAACTAAATCTAAAATACCAAATGGATTATTATAGTTTCTCGAATGCCCTTTTTCTGCCTTTTCTTCTAACTGGGTCAGTTCTCAAGAAATAATAGTTGCATGGAAATGCAAGATCATCAGAAAATAATCTCTTTTGAGCCCAAAGGACATTCCCTGAATTGCTGGAGGAGAGCTGAAATCTATTCATGCTCGTAGGCATATTCGAAGACAGCATTGCCTTTTGAATTAGGGCTCATTGACTTCAAACATGGGGGGGGAACGATATCCTATGTAAATTCCTTGCGGCAGCCTCTTCAGTATGATTATTTGCATGATTGTACTGACACCTAGTGGTTACTGTTTTTCTGGTTTTATATTGCTGGCTAATCGCTGTTACAATAAATTCATTCATTCAGTGGTTACTGTTGTATATGGAGCATGTCCTCCTGTCTTAAATTGGATAGCTTTTATCAATTTTATCCTCATTTTCATACCTAGTACCCACTGCAAGGCTATCACTGTAAGAGCCAGTGTCCTCTCTCCTCCCTCACGATGATTGTCTACCTATCTTTGTGTTAAAGTGCTCGTTTCCTTCTGCCAAAATGTTCATGAAAGTGTTGACTTTGTTTTTAATTATGCAGAGCTTTATTTGCAAGAAACCTTTAAGCCTTTAGTGAATATTTCACCAGATGCAAGGTGAGCTGTGATTTTTACTTCTAACTGGTTTATTCTCAGTTTTAACAATGTACCCATCACAAAACTGCAAGGGATATTTTAAGACTGCACAAAATATGCATTGGTTAGCTAGCACTTGTTCCCCAGTACCCAGTGGGAATCAATGTTCCCTCTAAGCTATGGAGTCCTGTGAGCAAAAATTCTACTTTGTGAGCTACTGGCAATAAAGTTGTGAGCAAGTAATTTGGCTGCTGCATAAATTAGTTTGCTCTGGAGCCATCCTTCCTGACCTAAAACAAAAATGTGTGAGCTGGAGGCTAAAAAACACTGAGCTAGCTCACACTAACTCAGCTTAGAGGGAGCAGTGGTAGGAATATTTTTGGCTTCTGTTTGGATCCTCTCTCTGCTTCTAACTTCCAAAAAGTAACTTCTTGTTTCATAATTACATATGAAGTGCTGAAACATTTAACCAATATTCACACAAACTTTTAACTCCAGTGTGTGTTTCCTCTCCCACACTACATCGATGTTGTACAGATGTTTCTGTGTTCACCTTTCCTATTTGATTTGGGTCAGAGGTTCATGTGACAAACTGAGTAGTAGCTTGTCTATATGAACAATACTTATAAAGCTTGGGGCATTTTAATTAGCCACCATTTCTATATGTAAGGCTTAAGGTTCAGCCCAGAGGATCTAACTAGATGACAATTGAGATAACCATAATCAGATCTTCCCAGTGTTTTTCAAATAGAAGTAGCCACACAGAGCCCTGATTCAGACTGGGACCACATGGGAGGAAGAGGGGACTTAAGCCTTCTGACATCCCTTATAGTTTTACTAATTGAAACCAACCAACCATGGCACACACACCCCAGAAAGAAAAAAGACAAGTCACCTGTGTTTTATACATGGATTACCCTTGAAAGGATAATGTGGGGGGGGGCAGGATAGGTTTGTCTGGCAAAGCCATGCAGAAGCAAAAGAATTCACACAGACACGTCCTATTATCCAGTCTGAAGTGGTGCCCTCATATAGCAGCTATGCTTTATTTTAAAACTGTGGGACTTGCAGCATCTCACCCAGCAAAGGCATGAGTCACATTGCTGCAAGGTTGGTTTCTATTCATCTGTATGCAGCGAAAGGCAAATCGCTTGAGGCTTGAAGATTATACCTTTTCCCAGACAAAACTCAACAAAAATGGCAAAGTGCTCTTTTTTAATTTCTGTGAAGAAATTTGATTGCTTTGCTACTAGGATTTGATGTGATGCTGACTATTCGTTTTGGTGTGTTGTCAGGAGCCTTAACAACTATGAAATAAAATCATACGTTCTTTTCACAACCTCTCCTAGAATGACATTTTAAAGGATTAGGCTGTTGGCCTTGTGGATTTTTGGGGGGGGGGGATGGTATCTGTGTCTCGGTGGATGTAAATTAGTTTATACTAATCGTTGCAATAACTTTCTCTTCAGCCTTTTTGATGCTGTGTATTCACTGATCAAAAACAAAATCCACAGATTGCCAGTTATTGACCCTGTGAGTGGAAATGCACTTTATATACTTACCCATAAAAGAATCCTGAAGTTCCTCCAGCTTTTTGTAAGTAAATTGAGACTTTTCTTTGGTACTGCCTGAACTTAGAGATGTTAGAGTAGACAAATTATATTGCTCTTAGCATTGTAAATCCTCAGCTTGAAAGCATCTGGGCTCACAAAATAGCCCCAAGACAAAAGGTGCTTTGGTTTGAATGTTAATGTCTGAAACAACTGTAAGATGTGATTTGTCAGATCTGAGAACATTCACCATCATCTTAGTCATAGTAGAATGTTTTGTTAGAAACTTGGAGGCTTGGTAGGGAAATCAGCTATGATGATTTATTAGAACATTGTATGAATAATACCATATAATGCCAGCTTTATAATATAATAATAAAAGAATAAGCCTGTCTCACAACATTTTGTAAATTTTCCCTCTAGGTGTCAGAAATGCCAAAGCCTGCCTTTATGAAGAAAAACCTGGATGAGCTTGGGATAGGAACGTACCACAACATCGCCTTTATACACCCAGACACTCCTATTATTAAAGCCTTGAATATATTTGTAGATAGAAGGATATCGGCTCTACCTGTTGTGGATGAGTCAGGTGTGTATTAAGAAATACAAAGATCATCATGGCATAGAGGGCTTGTTTTTCTATTTGTTAGCTGGTACTGTGGGCATTTAAATGCTCCCATGAAACTAGAAAAAGATACGAGAGGAACCTGCCCCAATCAGCTGCCATCATAAATGTATAATGCCTCTCTAATATTTATAGCAACCCTATAGTATAGAAAAAACATCTTCTGCTTTGGTTACCTCTTCCCAAAAATGAATAGCAGTCTTTGTAATACTTTAGAGACTAACAAGTTTTTATCAAAGCATAATTTTTTGTGGGCATTTTTTTTTACTGCCACCAACTCACTCTGTGGCTTGAGAAGAACAACATGTTTTTATAGCCTGCTTTTCTCTACCTTAAGGAGTCTCAAAGCAGCTTACAAATCACCTTCCCTTCCTCTCCCCACATCAGTCACCTTGGGAGGTAGGTGGGGCTAAGAGAGTTCTGAGAGAACGGTGACTGACCCAAGGTCACCCAGTAGGCTTCATGTGGAGGAGTGGGGAGTCAAACCCTGTTCTCCAGATTAGATTCCATCGCTCTTAACCACTACACCACACTGGCTCTGAGGCAAGTTAGTCTCACAGCCCTGTAAGATGAGCAGTAAGGATCACAGGAAGATAATGTGGATGAAGTGTTTTGAATATTGACAGCCTATCTAAATGCTTAGTAGTCATAATATAACTTTTTCAGATTGGTATCTTGATTTGCACAGTCACCTCTCATGCCAAAGTTCAGTTTTTTATTTGGTTCTTTTTCTTCTCCATACATAATAGGCGCATGTTCAAGACAGAGGCTGCCTCCAACAGCAAATAAATACACTGTTTGACCCAAAAAATGTTTCTAGTAATACACCCAGAACTACCATGCCACCAAATAACAGCCATAGGGGGTTGTATGCATAGTGGAGGATAGTTGTACTAGGGACAAAACAGCAAATGCCATGTACTTTGTTGCATTACAGAGTAGTGTTTCAGGGAGTAAGCTAATGAGAAGTGTTGCACATGCATGCGGAAAATGAGGCCATCTTATGAAACTTGACAGTGACTTATTCAAGATTCACAGAAGGAATTATTTTTTTTACACTCTCATTTTGCTAGAAAGTTGCTCTCATGATGTCTTTCAGGCAGAGTCTAGTGTGGTGGTTCCTTCAGTACCAACATGTCAACGGATGATTTGTTACTTTTTAAATAAATGTAATTATATATTTTGCATGATTTCTTCTTTAAAGTCCCTATACATTAAAACACCTCACTTCGCATGCAGCCATTTCCCCCCCAGAAAAAATACCTTTTAGATTATATTTAGGGATCCCAGAATTTCCTTGCAAACTTACTAGGTGTTTGTCAATATTAGTGGTGATTAAGCTTTCCTGAAAGGCTGAAGACTGTTTGCCCACTGCTGCTGATTTTCTTTCATCCTGTGAAGCCACAGCAAGCATTGGGCGTGCTCTGGAGCCTGCTTTTCATTCACAAGTGGCATGATTGTAGTGTTCTCAGAGGAGGGCAGGGTAGCATGAGAATTGGCTCCAGGGCTCTACATGTGCAGTGCTCAGAATAAGCAGGACCAAAAGTCTTGCAGAGGTGGTTGTTGGTGGAAGGAGAGAATGCTGAATTGTCATGTATGAACATAACTCAGGAGGGAAGGCAGTATGGTATAGCCTGATGGTGTCAGATCTCAGAAGCTATGCGGGGTCCGCACTTGGAAGGGAGACTCTGCAGAGGAAGGCAATGGCCAACCACCTCAGCTTCTTCCTTGCCTTGGAAGCCCTTTGGCTGCCATATGTCGGCTGTGACGTGAGAGCACTTTTTACACATACACTTATTAATACATCTCACTTGTGAATGATACCCAGGCCCCAATGATATCTGGCTGCCCTCGACCAGGGCCTTCTCTGCCTTGGCCCCAGCCTGGTGGAACTCTCTGCCGAATGACATCCATACCCTATCTGATCTATTAAAGTTCCGCAGGGCATGTACGGCAGAGATGTTCCGCCAGGCTTTTGGTTGAGGCCAGTGATGGTTTTTCCTACATCTGCCCGGTACCCTCCCCCCGCTCCAAAAAATCTGAATGCTAGACAGGCCATCTGTTATTGGAATGTTTAAAATGTATGCTGTTTGTTTAATATTGTATGTTTATGGTTTTAATTGGTTTTTTAACTGTATGGAAATATTGTTTATGGTTTTAATTGGTTTTATAACTCTATGGAACTATCTTGTAAACTGCAATGTAGGCGGGGAAGGGCAGTTAAGAAAACCAATGAAATAAATAATAAGAGGATGTGATGCCTCAGGAGAAGTAGTTGTGGTGTGGAGTGCAGGAGCTCTTGTCAGCAGCTAGTGCAGAGGGGACCTGCATGGGAGGTGATGTCTGATCAGGGGCTTATAGACGTAGTCCGCGCTGCCAGGGCGTACCAGCACCAACCGGTCCATATTCTGCATTCCAGCTTGGGTGCCCATTTCTGGAATTCCCACTTTCCTACCCCTGACATGACCTGCCTCCAACCTAAATGTTCATCTGTCTGCATTCCCCCCTTTACCGTTGGTCCCTACTTTTCCTGAAATGTCTCTGTTTCTCTGGTTGCTGTATGGAGAAAGCAGGCTTTTTGTTTCAGAGGAGGGAAATAATGTGTGTGAGACTTTGGGGGGGGGGAATGCTGCTGACAGCGAGCTCTGCATGGCAGTTTGCAGAATCCCATCTTGTAGCCATGCATCAGCCCCAACTCAGGGCAGGCATGAGAGCACCCAGTCCCAGCCAGGAGCACCCCACTAGTTCACGTGTACCTTCTCCCCTCTCGCACAGGCATTTCCCCTATCCCCCTCCCCCTTCAGCTTTCAAGTTCATTATGGTTAGTGTTACATCTGTGTTCGAGTTAATGGCCAGCCACCCTTTGCAGCCATGGTTAGTTAGTAAAAGGAGTTTGCGAATCATAGTCTGGGCTGGTTATAGCTAGTGAAGACTGAAAGGGAGAGAAGAATATGTGCAAGAGAATAGAGATGAAGGAAGGAGCAAACCTATAGGGCATTTCCTGATTTTTCTTAAAACTCGGTTTGATCAAGCAGAGGTCCATTTTCATTTACCAAATCTAAAGAGATATATTATTCCCCCTAGCACATGGGCATGTTTGGCCTGAATGTTATATGTGTGTAACATCTCTGTATGTACAGTTGCTTCTCTGAATTGCAAAGCTGAAAGCCTATAGTGTGTGTTGCCCCATTTAACAAATGGAACAATTTGGGTCGTATTTTTGGTGAAAGACGATAAATACCATTGCGTTGAGAATATAACCATTGGAATTTACCTTATATACTTGTTTTCCAGAATCTTGCTGCTGAAAAAACATATAATAACTTAGATATCACAGTGACGCAAGCTCTTCAACACCGCTCTCAGTATTTTGAAGGTGTTGTCAAGTGCAGTAAGCTGGAAACGCTGGAGACCATTGTGGACCGGATAGTTAAAGCTGAGGTGAGAGTTCTTTCGCCACAAAATTTTTTGAATAGCATCACTCACCAGGAATTCTAACCAGGTACAAAAGGGTCCTTCCATGATGCATTAACAACAGTACGTTTTAGAGGTCACCATTTCTTAATTTTATTCATTATTCTGTATAATTATTGCTGGCTTGTTTTTGGAGTGTGGCATCTGTGGGGGTGAGGCAAGGAAAATGGCACTGATGTGGGTGGGGTCTATGAAACTGCAACTTCCTGTGCACGCGACATCTTCCAGGAAGATCTTATGGAACTGGGTTTGGGGAAAATCCAGAGGCAAGGAAAATGGCACTGATGTGGGTTGGAGTCTATGAAACTGTGCAACTTCCTGTACACGCGACATCTTCCAAGAAGATCTTATGGAACTGGGTTTGGGAAAAAAAAAAAAAGCAGGAGGGGAGAGAGTAGTGGACTGTGTCATACAGATGCTTCTAAAAACATCACAGCTGAAACGAAGCCAAGGCAGAGCAAAATATCTATCCGCTCTCTGATAACCTGGGGATAGGACAGTGGCATGCTACCCAGAGGCTTTCCCCAGCTGCTTCTGTTTGACAGGAGTAGGAGTGAGTGCCCAGGGACGAGCTCAAGCTAAAACACTAGCCAGGAAGCTTCTGGGGGGAAATGTCCCTTCTCCCGCCACACAATAGGCAGCCTACCTGTGGTGCAAAATTGGTGACACTCTTGAGCATAAGTGGAAGGGCGCATTGGCCTGACCATGGCATAGAACAGAACATTGGAATTACTGTGAAGATTCCTTTCTAGGAGGAGGAGGACATTCTTGATGATTGGGTCCTGTCCTACCCACAATCAGTGGCGAATCAGTTTTTTAATGTCTGCTGTTTATCTCTGAATATATTGCCTCAGTTTATAATTGCCTCTGTTGCCTGAGACCATACGTTTTGTACATTCCGTTATTCCTCCTGAGCACTATACTCTGTGAGTACCTTCTTCTACAGACTCACTGTTCGTTTTTGATTAGGCACTCTGTGTGCTGAGCTATGGAAGTCTCTGAACTGAAGATGGCGGGAACTCCTTTCCCACTGGAGACAGAAGGAACAACCTACGTCCTGCCTCCAAGGATTGTGGGTAGGGGAAGATCCAATCATCAGAGCGTGCTCCTCTCCAGTTTACCTCACCTTTCATCACGGCATTATTCCTTCTCCCCAGCTCAGTCAGCTAAAAACAAACTTGTATCATACCTGTGAGGGGTTTCATATATACCAGAGAGCTCCTACAGTGGTGCTAATTCTTTGTGCTTGGCTTGTTGCACTCTTGCGAAAATGGATGGTTATTGGGCTATACAGCAAACCATTTTGAAATTTGGAGGTTCAAAAGCAATATACGATAAAGCTGTTCAAACCACCTATATCCAAAGTTTCTCCCTGAAGCACATGACTTTGAAAAAAACACCATTAACATGAAGTCCAATTTTGTAATTGGGTTATTCTAATTATAAATGTGTTGATGATTTATAAAACAAGTACTCTTGCACTTTATAACAAAGTTAGATATGTTGGCTTTAATTTTGTGTTCCTTGTTAGATTATGTTGCAGTGTTTGTTACACACAGCATCTCTTTTTAACAAGAATGTTCCATGTGAATTTATAACAAGCAGGAATTTTCTGTCACACTTTACATTCTGCTGACAAAAAAAGATTGTTAATCGATAATCTTGAAGTGTATATTCTGTATTTATTTGATATGTTGGCTTTAATTTTGTGTTCCTTATTAGATTACGTTGCAGTGTTTGTTACACACAGCATCTGTTTTTAACAAGAATGTTCCATGTGAATTTGTAACAAGCAGGAATTTTCTGTCAAACTTTACATTCTGCTGACAAAAAAAGATTGTTAATCAATAACCTTGAAGTGTATATTCTGTATTTATTTTATGCATACAGTTCTCCCACCATTTTAGCCCTCCAACAATTATTTAATTACTGCGAAGAGTATAGAACTGGCTCAGATGTGCCTGCTCTGGTTGTGGACCAAAACTAGGCCTTCAGTGATTCATGTGCAAGCCCACATAAACAGAGACATTTAAATGCACAACACAAAGTGAGGGGCTGCAGGACTGTACACCTGGCCACAGTTATTTATGGTGGGCATAGTGGTATAAAGCTAAAATTGTCTAATCCAAGGTGGATTGGAGTTGGCACGCAATGTTCCCTCCAAGCTGTGGAGTCTTGTGAGCAAAAATTCTTCTTTGTGAGCTGCTGGCATTAAAGTTGTGAGCGAGTGATTTGGCTGCTGCATAAATTAGTGTGCTCTGGAGCCCATCCTTCCTGAGCTGAGACCCTGGCCACAGTTATTTATGGTGGGCATAATGGTATAAAGCTAAAATAGTCTAATCCAGGGTGGATTGGAGTTGGCAGGATTGGAAAACGGCACCTACTATCTTTAAAACTTGTCAAGTCCTCCTTTGTATCTCATAGTAAATTTGATATAAATATGGGTTGTTCTTCTGTCTCTTTGGAGCCAAGGAAGACTGGGTCATAGAGTATTGTATATTTAGGGCTGAGCATCCCTCTAAACAGTGTGAGCTTCTGCCTGTTAACACTGGGATGTGAATTTTTTACGCTTTGCAAGGAATAAAATAATACCTTGATGTTTTTTCTTCCTTGATTTCAGGTTCATCGATTGGTGGTAGTAAACGAAGCAGATAGTATTGTTGGTATCATCTCCCTCTCTGACATCCTACAAGCATTAGTGCTCACGCCAGCAGGTATGAATGCCACAGTTAGAACATTGCTTGAATTTGATCACCGCATACGGCATTAGCAGTCCTCATCTCTTTATCAGGGCTCAAGGGATTCCCAGATAGTTTATAGTAGTTCGTTTTTTTAGATCCTCCCAACAACCCCAGGAGGCAGCTTAGGCTAACAGAGTGCCTCGAGTTTTATACTTGGTTGGGGTCTTAAATCCAGAAGTCCCTAGCCCTAATCCAACACACTAATCCCTAGCTCTCCCTTTTCCTCTCATTTACCCTCAGCAATTTTTGAGGGGTAGGTGATGCTGATATTGCTTTGCCCAAGGCTCGCCTAAAGGGCTTCATGATTTAACATGGTGCCTCCCATGTTCACATACAATACTGCTGTCAACTGCATCACACCGAAAGCTCATTTTAACTCTTTTTATTTGTAGCTCCCAGCATGAACTAAAGATCAGAGTGTCGTTACAGGAACAGGAATATCAATATATCTAATAGTGAACATGGCCCCATGTGCAGCTCCTGAAATCTGTGGACTGGGGCCAAGTAGAGAGAAAGGCAATCTTTCTACAAACTAGATGGAAAACCGAGGTTAGCAGAAAAATCTGAAAATGGGGGGGTGAGTGGGCACATCAAAGAGATCCGTGACTTAACATGACAAGATTTCAGCTGCCTTTACAGAGGTTGCCTAGCATCCCCGGAAAGCAGCACTACAGTTTGGTGGTGGCAGCCTGAGAGGATGCTGCGGTGGGATGAAAGAGGATACAGAGAGAGAGAGGCAGACACACTATGCCAGCAAGAGAGAAGGGAGGTAAGGGGGAGAGACCGTGTCAGCAACAGAGAAGGGGGCAGGTGGAGGAAGGCAGAGAGAAAAAAGAGACTCTGCCGGTGAGAGAGAAGGGGGCAGCAGTCAGTGGGCAGAGGAAGAAAGAGAGGCGGTGCTGGCAACATCAAAAGGGTTAGGGTGAGAGGGGAGGAACAGAAAACGAAAGACCCCCATGGCTTCAAGGGGAAGACAGTGGAGGGTTGGGGACGGAAAAGGTGTTCCACCCCTTTGCTGCTTTCTCCCCCCCCCCTTCCATTTCCAAGCTTCTCTGCTGATGGGATATTGGAGCCTGGCTCTTTTCTCTCCAACCTACAGCAGCACTGGCTTGCAGTGCACAGCACAGGACGCATCTTTCACACTCTGTGCGGCATGTTTTCTGTTCCAAGCCTCTGGCAGCTGAGAAAACACCAACAAGGGAAGGCAAAGAGACAGAAAGAAATGAGATACTGAGAATGAGCAAGGTGGGAGTAAGTAAAGGTGGGGGAAATTGGATGCCTGTGAATTCTCATGGGTCCCCTCATCCTCAATAGGTCTGATTCTTAACATGGCCCTATCTATGGATACTTATATCCAAAGATTGGAACCATAAACAAACAAGACAGATCTTTCTGCAAACCTGAGAAAAGACCCAGGTTCAAATCCCCTCTCAGCCTAATCTACCTTACAGGGTTGTTGTGAGGATAAACCAGAGGAGAATGATGTTAGCTGCTTTGGATCACCACTGAGGAGAAAGGTGGGTTATAAATTAATAGTAAATAAAGCTGAACGTACGGGGCAGATAAAAGAAAGTTTGGTTGGTGAGTGGACAGGAGGGAAGGAAGCAAGGAAAGAGAGGAGGATATGGGGGTTGCCAGGTGGAGAAAAAGAGGAAATAGTGTGGGGAAGGGGATATGGGAGACATTTAACACCCCCCAGAAGTCCTAATGGGTTCCCAACTTATTTCCGACTGACTCAGAGGCTCCACGTGCATGTGGAAATTTTAGTATGCATACTGATGTCCTTCACACTAAAGGGTTTTGTCACTTACTCCAGAATTGTAGATGGATGAAGCTCTGCTTTGTATCTTAGCCCCTGATGCCACACGTGAAAGAAGCTTGTATTGTTCACATATGCTGTAGCACATGCAGAGCTTTAAAACTGGCTCAGACATCGCTAGCAGACAACGTAATAAAAGTACAGGATGCCTGTTGCAGTAAGATTTCATAGGCTGTTAACTGCACAGTGTACTTCATGAATTTATCTATTGCTCCAAGCTTCCATTAAAAAAAACAAACTGGTTTTCCACCAGTGAAGAAGGGGGTGATTTTAACCAGTTCTTCCTTCTGGCTGTACACCCCCAGAAGCAGAATGTGTAGGAGCCCCAGTGAGCTGCAGAGAGGGGGGAATGGGGAACCTCCCCCCAAGCTACTAATGGAAGTGAGTTATGCAGGTGGAAAACTATTTTTAGAGTCGCCCAGATAGACAGAGAGATGAATTAAACTGCTTGGTTCTGCTCCAAAATGTTTTGGCAAGGGTGCGGAATGGGTTCCTTCTGCTGTGCCAAACTTCAGAGCTAGTTGTGGAAAGGGACTTTGACATTTAAAAATGCATTTGCACAAATTCTTTTTTTAAATAAAGTAAGATTTTAAATAAGAATAGGCCGTGCTGTACTAAGCTTCTGCCTTGCATGCCTGGACACCCCTGAGTGCATGAGACAAGACGTAGGCAAGATCTGAGGATGTTCGCAGGGTGCCCTAGGCTTGCCTCATGTACCGCTTCCAGAATAGAAGTAGCACTACATACTGAAACACGTGATTTCCTAAAGTGCCGTAGCCATGAGGAAGAGTCACATCCATCATTTCTAATCCCATCCGAAGCAGTATCCAGTGACTACTTGTGACACTTGTACTGTTGTACTAGAAATGCACGTATGGTGGAAGAAGGCAGAGGTATCTGATTTTCCAACATATTTAGTACTAGAAAATGCATTATGTCTTACAGCCAAAGCCTACCTTGTAGTAAGAAATCTCAGCCTAGCCTACCTCACAGGGTGTCTGTTGTGGGGAGGGGAAGGGAAAGGAGATTGTAATTGTAAGCCGCTCTAAGACTCCTTCAGGTAGTGAAGTGTGGGGTATAAATCCAGTCTCCTCTTCTTCAATTGGGACACAGGTATGCACTTACAGTATTGACTCAAATGCAAGACTAGAGTTGTTCCCAGGTATTCCATTAAAAAGAGGGGGTTATCTTATATTCACATAAAATAGAAAAGAGCAAGAGTCCCGTAGCACCTTAAAGACTAACAAAATATGTGGCAGGGGATGAGCTTTTGTGAGTCACTGCTCACTTCTTCAGATATCTTACAAAAGCTCATATCCTGTGCAACATGTTTTGTTAGTCTTTAAGGTGCTCCTGGACTCTTACTCTTTTCTACTGCTACAGACAGACAAACACTGCTACCCGTCTGGATCTATTCACATAAGTTACAATTATGTTGAATAATAAATTGGTTTTTATATATGATGTTTTAAAGGGGGTCATCTGACATTCAGGGCTGTCTTCCTTCTGAGTGAATACGGTATTGTGCAAAATCCCCCTCAGTCACTCTCTGTGCTGTCTGACAGGTGCCAAACAAAAGGAGAATGAAACGGAATGATTCCTGTGAACACAGAAACATTTGTCGAGGGTCTTGAATAAAGTTACTGGGTCATATTTGCCTCAAGAATGCTGATGGGCAGTAGAGAAGAGCAAAATGGTGATGAGAATGTGTGTCTTGGGCCTGAGTGATGGGTAACTAGTCTGCAATTCCCCAGTGACCGTCGCAGAACAAGCTGCATGACAACAACAACAACAAAAAGCTTATGTATTTTAAAAAATGGCTTGCATTTCAAAATGTTTGCTGAAAGACTTCACATGATGTCCTTCATCTAAAATGCACTGTATCCTGAAACAATACCATATTTGCATTTGGTAAAAGTCACTGGTCCACAACAGATCTCTGACATAAGGCAAGTGAATGGCATATTCATATCATAGTGCCTTATGTCAAAAAGCCAACAATATGTCATCACAGTTGCCCATCACAGCAAGAGGAAGTATTGTGCTAAACAAGACACTGAATTTGAATGTTCAAGTCGCTAAACCTAAAACCAAATCAGTTTCAGTTATCATTAGATTTGTCATTAAAAAAACCTGTAATTTGAATATCAGTAGATTACTTTACAACTTCAATGACAACTTGTGTGTTTTCAAATGTTGCATTATGAACTGAGATGGTTTAAACAAGACTGATCTAAAACCAGCTTTATTTATTTTTATTTTCTTGCAATTTTTTACACATCTTTTGGTGGATAGCTAAAACTTCACCATATCCATTAATAAAACGTTGATTGTTATATAAGAAAGAGTCGATCTCTCATTACTAAAAACAGAACTACATAGCCTTCGACAACATATAGAACTACAAAGAGTTTTTAGATACACCCAAGAGGACCACACACATACGAGGGTTGTTTGAGTACTGTTAGATACCTTTCAGCTTGTGGAGTGAAATGATGCGGACAAGAACCTGGGAAAGGTAAGACCTATCACATGTGTTCTCAACTCTTGCCCATCCTGGCTGATAAAAGAAGTGTGGCTCAAAAATGATGGTCACAGTCACAGAACAGACCGCAAAAAGAAGAAACTGTGAGGTAACTGCGCTAGAAAATATTTCTAGCTGTGGTGATCTGGAGTGCTTTTTTCTCAGCTTTGGCTGGTAAGTGAGCTGCACCCATTCCTGGTTCAATCAGATCTAGCCACAGTGATCCCAGACTAGTTTATCGCAGTGCAGTTAGCATAAAGGTTTTGTGAGAACATGTACCTAGTAAGGCATTATACAAGCACTTTGCCCGAGGAACATCCTTTCAGAGAATTTCTTGCAACTAAGTTATGGTGAGTATATGCTTTCGAAAGTAAAGTTGTATAAATTAATTGTGGCTAAAGAGTCGCTGTATGTAAGGTTTGGGGGGGGGGGAACAAAAAACTTTTTATTGAATTCTTGCATGTACATGTACCATAGATTCTTCACATAATATTATTATTGCATATGATATATTAAGGCTTTCATTCACTTTCGGAAGAAGAATAGTATAGAAACGATAGAACATTCCGGAGACCATTGTCACACCATTTTCAACTGCCTTGTGCATTTGTATGAGTTTTGTACACATTTTTGTATATATTTTGTGATTGTTTATTGAAATATTTTCTAGCGCAGTTACCTCACAGTTTCTTCTTTTTGTGGTCTGATAAAAGAAGTGGTAAATGCTTCCTTGAGAGGGGGAGTTATGTCACCCATGCTTAAAGAGACAGTGATTAGACCTGGGGGGGGGGCATTCCTTAAACCCTAATATATTAGAGAACCTCTGACCTGTCTCTATTCTTGGGCAAGGTACTAGAGTGGGTGCTTGCTTTTCAGCTCCAGGGGCTCTTGGAAGAGACTGGTTTTCTGGACCCATTTCAATCTGGCTTCAGGCCAGGGTTTATAACTTGGTTGATGATCTCTATCAAGACCTGGACAGGGAATATGACCCTGCTAGTTCTGCTGGGTCTCCAAGCAGCATTCGATACTGTCCTAATGAGTGGCTCCTCATTCGATACTGTCCTAATGAGTGGCTCCTCATCAAGGCTGTGGTGATCTGGAGTGCTTTTTTCTCAGCTTTGGCTGGTAAGTGAGCTGCACCCATTCCTGGTTCAATCAGATCTAGCCACAGTGATCCCAGACTAGTTTATCGCAATGCACGCTACTTGGGGCTACCCTTGAAGAGTTTCAGAAACTGCAGCCAGTGAAGAACCCTATGGCTAGATTGCTGGTCAGGGCCAGCTATTGGGAGCACGTGACCCCAGTATTACAGCAATTACACTGACTACCAACCCGCTCCCAAGCAGTTCCAAGGTTTTGGTTTTGTCCTTTAAAGCCCTACATGGCATGGGACCAGGGTATCTGAAGGACTGCATTGTGCCATATGTTCTACCTGGGAATTGAGATCACACAGTGTGGCCCTCCGAATTGTCCCATCAACCAAAGAAGCCTGTTTGGTGGATACACAAGAGAGGATCTTTTTGATAGCCGCTCCATGATTATGGAATAACCTCAGGGAGGGCCAGTTGGCCTCACTTTCAGTCTCCAGGAGACAGTTGAAGATGGTTTTATTTAGGACTGTGTTTAATTAATTAATTTGGTGGCAATCTAAGTGGTTTTAAAATCAATTTTTTCCCACCTTGCATTCCATAAGGTGGAAAGGCAGCTAAAAATGCCTTATTATAATAATTTACTTTCAGAAATCTCAAATGAATTACTATCAAGAAAGCAGCTAATCATACATTTTGGCACATTCCCTCATCATGGAATATTAGTCCTATTTAGGAAATGAATCAGTTATTCCAAGTAAACCAAATAAACATTTCCCCCCATACCATGGTTGTTGCTAGGGGAGAGGGTTTTTTGTGGGGGGGCTGATAATTAAACACATTTTCCCGGTTTTTGAGGATTTGAATAGATCTGTAGAAGAAGCTGAAGAGCTGTTTTCCCCCTTGGAAGTAAGCCCTTGGCTGCTTCCACCACAAAGATTTTCAGCTCAGGTGGGCATGATTTGAAACAGAAAGCAAAAGTGATGCAGGAGTAAATAAAAATTAATGTTTACATCAAATAACCATTAAATTTTGAATGGAAAAATCACTGTCTCTCTCCTATGACAAAGTGGACTACAATGGAAAAATAAAACTAATCTGGAACACTTGATATTAACTCAATCTGAGCTTTTACGGGTCATGGCCCACTTTGTCAAGGAGCTATGTGATGGGAAACCATGCTGTTGGCAAAGGAGAGAAGCGGCTGCTCTGCCTGGTTGCAACTACGTTCTCTTTGTAATGGTCATGTACAGCACAAAGAAACCTCTGGCAGGAAGACTGAATTGCATACAGCACCATAAGATCTGCCGCTCAGATCACTTGCATTGAAACACAGGAGTGTCAATCACTGAATGCTTTGCCTGAGGCTGTAAGTGAATAGAACAGGAGAAGCCTGCTTTGAGGTTTTACTGAGCTCTTTTTGAACCTATACAAGGGTTTTGTTTTTGGGGGGGCTGGTTAAAAATCACTGTGGGGTGTTGGGGGTTTTGTTCCTCCCAGGAAAGAGAAGGGAGGGGTGCCTTTGCACATCAAGAGACTAGTTTTTCCAAGGTTGAAACCAAGTGATCAGATGAGGAGGATGGTGTCTGACAATCTGTTGGATTGCAGCATTGCACAGTCAAACCAAATGCCAGTGGGACCCAGTGGCAGCGAGCATAGGACAGCAGATCACGACATCTGAATCGTGCAACCGGAAAAGGGGAAGCCGATGCCAAGTCCGCAGACAGCAAAATAGCTGGAGACTGTAGGACACGGGTAGGCAACCTTTTTGGGCCCAACTCCTGACAAAACAAGCAAGCCTACCTCCGAAGAAAATGGTGGAGCACTGCTAGCATCTCAGAGGCTCACCTTGGCCCTAGCTGGTGGCTGGGAGGGGAAGTGAGGCAGCAGCCCTACCTGTTGCCTTCTCCTGCATTGCTGGCCCCAGCAGTGCTGCCAGTGCCTGGCTTCCTCAGGTGAAGATCCAACCCTGGGTGCCAAGCAGAATATTCTCGTGCTGTGTCACCACACGTGCCTAAGGTTGCCTACCACAGCTGTAGGATATTAAAATGTGTGTGCCCCGCCATTCATCTTAGCTCAAGACAGCTTAGAGGTAAGAATTAAAAAACATCTACAATAAAACCGCTAAATATACCCCACCAAAAGACACCTGCTGTTTGAATCTTACTAAAACCCTGGCCAACAAATAAGCTTGATAGCAACTCCAGAAGATGGCCTCTTCAGGGAGCCCATTCCACAGACTGGAGGCCCTGATAACAAAGACCTGAGCTCTGGTCAATGCCAGGCAGGCCACCCTAAGTCTGGGAACAGCCAGCAGGTGGCTGCCTGAAGACCATAGTTGGCACACAGGAATACATGGGAGGAGACAGCCCTTCAGATGCATGAAGGGCTTGATCGGAACATTTGACAGCCAATGTAGCTGTTTCAAAATGGGCAATGCTGGTCTCCACTTTGAGGAAACATCATGTGGGTTACAGGTCTTTAATATCAATATGTGGCAAAAGAGACACAAATCCAGATCCACACTCCTGCTCCAACCCTCCTCAGCTTGGATTTTTCTTTCTGTATCATCCCAATATGCCATGCTAAGAATCATGCTGCTTATGTGCATACAAAATTTCCTCTGTTGCAATTGTTGAGAATTTGTGACTTAGGTCAATGTGTTACAAGTTCTAGGGGAACAAAGTTTGAGTCCAGTGGCACCTTTAAGACCAACAAAGTTTTGTTCAAGGTATATGTTTTCGTGTATAAGCACACTTCTTCAGATACAATGAAACAGAATTTCCTCAACTATTACATACAGGAAGGGGGGTGTTTAGTTGCCAGGAAGGGCCAATTAGAATCAAAAGAGAGACAGAAACAAAAGTGGAAATTACCAGTCCATACATATAGGTAATTGTGTGTCTGGGTTCAATTCTGGGTAATTTTCATTTTTGCTTAGTTTTTATATTTGAAGGCTGGGGTATAATCCAACGCCTGTTCTTTCTTCAACCCACAGGGGATGGGGGGACATTAGGAGAAAGGGGAAGGCCCAGGCTAGGTCACTGGTGCCACACAGGAAGTTACATCATCATGTTCCCCAACGAGCACTACGGTCCGGGACTAAACATATCCTGGTGGTTCCAGGTCCCAAAGAGGCCAGACTAGCGGCGACTAGGGCTAGGGCTTTTTCAGTGGCGGCGCCTACCTGGTGGAATGAGCTCCCAGAGGAGATCCGGGCCCTGCGGGACCTTGCACAGTTCCGCAGGGCCTGCAAGATGGAGCTCTTCCGCCACGCGTTTCAGTAGAAGCCACCACGACTGTTACCATTTGTCCTAGCCCTTATTACCAACTCGCCGTGAGTGCAAAAATGGTGGTACTGCGTGGAGCTGTGGCCACTAAGGATACCATCCTGGTAACATCGGTTCCCTTGTTAGTTGTTGTGGAGAGCACTTATGTTGCACTGAATGTTTTTGAAATGCAGTTTTAATGTTTTATGTATTGGGCATTGGCCCCATCTGTACGCCGCCCTGAGCCCGTTCGCGGGGAGGGCGGGTTATAAATTTAAATAAATAAATAAATGTGGCGACATCACTGCAACACTCGTATTGGAGCAAAAACTCTGTGGTAAAAGGACTTATACCATAGAGTTTTTGTCCAAAGACCAGAGTGTCATCCCACACTAACTAAAAACCCAAGAGTGGGAGACCCCCTTTATGTTAATATTAGTATTAAAGGAGTTAGTAAAAC